AAAAAAAAAAAAAAAAAAAAAAATAAAAAAAAAAAAAAAAAAAAAAAAAAAAAAAAAAAAAAAAAAAAAAAAAAAAAGAAATGAAAAAAAGCTAAAAAAAAAAAATAAAAAATTTTTTGATAAATATGAAATGCATTATAAACTATAAAGACAACGATTGGTGAATATACAATAAACCATAATACAAAAAGTGACAAAATAATAAACAAAAAATACAAGTTGAATACTCATTTATATCCATATACATTGAATAAGGGATTAAGTTAAAATTCTATGTCATGTTTTACAAATGTACTTATGCGCTTAACTAATGTTACAAAAATTTTGATCCCACCAAAGTACGCGTATCTTTTAAAAATTATCGACGCACTCAATTTCGTGACTGGCCGTTTACGGTTTTAACCTTCAACTCCAATCACCGTCGGCACAATAATATTACTTGCTGAAGATACCATAATGTTTTCAACCTCGATCTTTGTTGGTACCATTATACTTTCTTCCATTCTTTTTCCGTTCACTTCAAATGCACTCGACCTGGTGGATACTATCAGGGGTTGGCTAGCATAGGAATCATCGGACTCATTGGCTTTCTCGCCTGCAACATCTGATAAATTATCCTCCTTAATCGTGATTTCCGGTTCATTGGATTCTTCATCCTGAATCCATGATTCCATTGTAGATTCATTGTCATACAACGTCATCACGTCCCATTTCTCTCGATCCCAATATTGTTCAATAAATGATACAATGTTTGATATTGGTGAGTGTGTGTGTTCGCTCCGAATCTTTCGACCCAACTCCTCAGCTCTTTCTTGGATTTTTTCGTCAGTTAATACTGTGGAAACGGCTTCGTACAGACGTTCAACGGTAAGCGTGTGTGCACAGATACCATTATTTGGTGATACCCCATGATGATGTAGGATTGAAGCCCACCATGGTTGATCGGCAAAGTGAGGAACCTTTAGCGTACGGATTCGAGATGTTAAAGAAGGCGAAAAAAAAAAAAAAATCAATATTACACAGGAGGAGTAAATTACACGTACCACCACAGATGGAACTCCCGCTCTGGCAACGGCGTGTGACGTCCCTGCACCTCCATGATGTACCACGCAGGCAACTCGTGGGAATAGCCAGGCATGAGGAATATGTCCAACTAGGAAAACCCGACCTGAACGAATGGCCGCTTGTAGTTCTGGTAATTTTACACTATGTAGGAATGACCAACGAATTAGTTGAGTTCTTATATAGGCCAACCAAACTTTAGATACACACTCGCTGACACCAGAAAATACGGCTCGATGTAATTCCGGAAGTTTATCCAGTACTTTCAGCCATAACTTCACACGACCAACAGAATCGCTAAAACTATGCATCGACCCATAGCCAAAATAAATTGGCTTGTTTCCGTCGTTCAACCAGTTCACCTGTTTTCAAAAATGGTAAAACGAGCAGGTAAATAAAAACAAAACACGATTACATGAAATCACAATGACAATAAGGAAACTTACGAGATCTGTCGGAGGAGTAAATCCGGCAACTTCTTCTTTGATGGTCACATATGGGTAATCCAATTGAACTTCCAATGGATTCCTTCTGTAAATATGAATAAACAGATAAATATTTACAAATTTTATGTCAAAATTAAAATCGCGCATCTAATCACATGCGATAAAAATTACAACTTACGGATTCGGAGGAATCTGAATGAGATTCTTATTGCAAACGTACAACACAGGAATATGGTTGTATTCTATAGCTCCACCGGGTAAAAATGGCAGTCTAAATTTAAATGAAATTCCGTAAGTGGATTTGACTCTCTAAGTAAATCAATGTTACAGGAGAAGATAAAAGAGGACGTGCCTCGAAACTGTTGGCAAATCGAGTTGCTTCAATCTCTGATTGTAAATCTATTTCGTGGTCCACAGCAGAGTGAGAAAATGCAAAGATTTATACTTTAAATCAAAAAAAAAAATTTTTCAAAATCATACGGGTAAAAGTCCAATGGACGACCAGAATGCAGCAATGTTATCCTGTGCACATGCAAAAAAAAGTTTTCAGAAAGATTCATTTTATGGTAATGGAGGTTAAGATGGTAATAATTAGATCATACCACAGTCTTCCATATTCTTCCGCCCAGATCGAAAGGAAGCCATTGTAGTGAGTCAAATGGCCTTCCATAAACGGCCTATATAATATTGGTTGTTGTCGAGATCTTAAAAGAATTCCTTCCTTACTTAATAGAAAACAATTAATACAAACCCCGGTGTAGTTGCTAGAGCTGGCGTACGGATAAAAACATACGTAGGCAACAGGAATGTTTCGGTAAAGGCACTATTTTGGGGGAACAAAGAAAAACCGTTAGTAAATTTTGGTTATGGGATAGAAATAAAATATATATACTGTTAACTACCTCTGGATACATATAATGTGATCCCGTTCCTAATATGACGAAATCTACACCTGATAGAACCCTTTCTGCGTCACTAATTATAAAGTTCGGAATGTGAATATTAAGAGCAAAATTTTGCGGGGTGTGAACAAAAAAAAAAAAAAAAAAAAAATACCGGTAGCATTTTTCGAAACCCTGCTTCAAGAATTTAAACATAAACGGGGACCCCAGTATGGAGTATCCAGAATATTTCACCATCCTCCTTCCTACGAAAGAAAATGATAATGATTAAATCAGATTTCTCCAGAAAAGTAAAATTTCTCTTGTTAGAAGTGTTCTCTTTTTACCTGCGTCGGTATTTTCCCATTCGTCTTGCATGTCCCACTATAGACCAAAAACTTTAGAAAAACTGATCAGAAGTAAAGAAGAAATATTGATATAACCTACACTCATCTCTCTGAACTCCAATTCTTTGCTCTCGATAGAATTCTTAAACCTACTGTTCGCGGCAATTATCACATTGTGTCCATGACGACGAAAGCCGACTCCCAGGTTTATGAAAGGCAGTACGTCGCCCATCGAGCCGATGGCTGAAATTCCAGAAAAATTGTTAGTGTGGCGAATAAATTTGCTTGAATAAACACCGATGACCTACCCATGAACAAAACATTCTTCGGAGGACGAGATGTACCGAACATTGTGCAGATGAAATATCAAGCAGAATTTTCAAACCTTCGCCAAAAAAAAAAAGGAATGGATGTTAATATCGTTAATTGGTAGGTTTATATTTTTGTGTTATTCGAATGCACGATGTAGATCTGTTTGTAGCTTCACCCGGTAATCTGGAACAAAGGCTGCATGTAACGTCACCTGCATGTATTAAATTGCGTAAACCAGCATAACCTATTATATAAGTACAGGAATAGTACAGGTTTTATTGAATGATCGGTTTGACTTACCCCTTGAGGCTGACTTTTCATTGATTAAACAGCCATCAAAATCTGCACGTGTTCTTGGTTTTCGCCACAACCTATTTCGAATTAATAATATACTAAATCACATTCTCGAGTGAGCCAAGATTTTTTTATAATATAGTAAAGCCCGCCTAATAATTTCAACCAATCGAAAATCTACCATATCTGAATGTTGTCAAAGAAGTTTTATTATTCGGGAAAATCGGTTTGCATCACTAATTAAATACTAGCCGTTTAAGAAGAATTGGGATGCCATGTGTGGTCCCCATTTCCCCAAAACATTTAATTCTTAATTAACCTAAAAATGTAATGATGAACGATCATTAAAGTTAAAACATGCTGTACACACATATATATATATAATATATTTTTTTTTTTTGTCACACTTCGATTAAGTTAATCTTGTTGAATTCTTCGGGAATTAGTGATTTACAATATTGGCACTTTCTTAATTTCCTCTAAATTCACTCTCAGACTGCTATTTTGTGGGTGGGGCAAGCTTTGGTGACCTTGTGAAGTTGTTAGGCTTTAAGGTGTAGCGATCACGGGAATAGAATTAGACCGCTCTGTTAACCGTGCATTTAATTATTTCTTATTATCATAAAATCTAGTCACATTTGTACTCTTAATGTAGTATAAAAATAGGAAGCCTAAACCTTAAAATATAAATTGTGTCATTAAATGGCGGAATCGGTCAATCCCTTTCATCTAAAAGGAATTTTATATGAAACCTACAAATTTGGAAAGGCACAATTATTGAAATCGGTGACAAAGAATATCACGGATTCACAGCCAAAGGCTGCACTTTTGCGCGCGTAAAAATTTTTTTTGAATGGATGTATGCGCATAGCGTGCGCACACGTCCCGTTCATAATATCTTTATTCGACTGGGAAAAAGATGAGAGAAGGGATTACTCTCGCAATCAAGATAATAATGATCCAAGGTTCTCTTGAGATTATGCATCCACTGCATGATAATCCGTGAAAATCAGGAGGGTACATTAATATGTATATTGCATTTCCGGTAGAAAGTGACCTTACAATTTGACATGCCTCAATTATGCTGATATGCTGATATGGCGTAGATAAACGACTGGCTCACATTTTTTGCCCTGCATGTCGTACGCCATTTCTCTTTTTTGTACAATCGCGAACGAAAAAGAATGCATTGTTATCAAGCACGCTATCCGTGCTCCCGCAATTCCCAATTTCTATTTTACATGCACCGCACCTCCGAGTTCCGTGCGCCATGTTCATCTGTGTCTTAGCGAATAACATGTGATAGGGGTATCGACGTTTATCTTTAACTTGACATTTATTCATTTTCTGAATAAAATATAGTATTTTTTTTTTTTAACCCGTCGTCAAATATTTATTTTCATATGAAAATTATTATAAATAATTCTCGTTTCATTATATAGTGATCTACTTTCTTAGACAACGACTTATTAATAAATTAATAAATTTAATTTAATGTATAAAATTATTAATCAACTTTTTTTTTAATCCACAATCAGGTCATCATGACATGTCTTTGTTGATTGTCAACAATCAATATATACAGTATTTGTTTATTTATTTATTTATCTAAAAAACTTATTTTTAAAGATTTTTTTTTTTTATATTTAAGAAATTTATTTATCTTTTAATGTATAGAAAATTGGATTTATTTTTTATTTATACTGTACTATATAATAAAAGAAATATCTAATTGGAATGAATAAAAAATCATTTATAAAAATATTATCTAATTAAAATATTAAGAAAAAAGATTTTACTTATATTTAATTTAACTTTAATGACTTAATGCTATATATAATTACTTTTAAAAGTTTTAATTTACTTTACTTTATTCTAAATTTTAATCTTGTCAATTTTTTAAATCTTTAATTATACAATCAAAAATTATAATTATTATATATATTATATTTTAATATACTCATATTTCTAAAAATAATTTTTAAAGTTTTATTATGTCAAAAAATTTTAACTCTTTATTAATTATTATAAAATTTATAATAAATATTATCAATTTTTCTATTTATCTCTTAGAAATTGAATAAAAGTAAAAATATTAAATTAAATCTAATATAATTAAATAAAAAAAGTAATATAATATTTTTGGAAATAAAAATTACTTCATTATTAAATAAACTTTAAAAAATCTTCAAAAAAAATAATTTTTATATTTAAATATGTACAGTTACTTTCAAAAATTTGAGTTCACTTACTATATTTTTATTATAAATTTCAACTTTAACAATTTTAAATCTTTAATTATAAAATCAAAAATTATAAAATTTATATATATTATATTTTAATATTAGTTTTATTTATTATAATTTTTTTAAAAAAATTTCATATACAATTGCTTTCAAAAGATTAAGTCCACTTACTATGTTTTTATTATGAATTTCAATTTTAACAATTTTTAAATCCTTAATTATACAATAAAATTCATATATATTATATTTTAATATTAATTTTATTTATTATATTTTTTTCAAAAAATTTTCATATATAATTTTTAAAGTTTCATTATTGCTAAAAATTTTTTTTCTTTATTAAATTTTTACTTTTAGAGAATTTTGATTGGCTATTATCATAAATCATATGATAATTAATAAAAAAATAAAGATATTTAACATTAATAAAACTTTAGAATTTATTAATAAAATTTTTTTTAAAAAATATAAGAAATAAATATATATTAAATATAATATATGTATATAAATTTTATAATTTTTAATTATATAATTAATGATTTAATAATCATTAAAATTATTAAAATTAAAATTTATAATAAATATAATAAATAAACTTAAACTTTTGAATACAACTATATATATATATTATATATCTAAGTATTTATAGTCAGATTAAATTATAGTTTATTAATTAATTGAAAATATAAGTATATTTTTATTCAAATAATATAATATATATTATTACTAATTATTTTTATTAGATTTAATTAACTCATTATAAGCAATAATAGTCTTTAAGTTTGATCTTGAAAACAATATTTCATTTCATAATAGTTTTTAAATAAAAATTCTTCTAATTATCATTTCATTATCAACAAGTTATTATTATTGAATATTCTACTAAGTTATTAGAATATAGAAAACTATAAAAGAATAAGTTAAAAAAAAAAAAAAGTGTATCTAAAAATAATCAAGTAAATAAATAAGAAAATAGAATAAATAATAGAATATGAGATATTTGTAAAATCAATAATATTTTTAGAGATTCCAACTATATAGAATTACCAGAAGAAAATATAGTAGAGTCAATTCAAATCCTTAATAATATTTGTGAGGATACTAGAAAAAATAAAAAAAAACTATGATACTCTTCCAGAATATCATCAAAGTATATGATATAATTAATTTATAAATATTAATAAAAGCAATTGAAAGAATTAAAGTACCATAAGGCTTTATTAAAATCATAATAAACTTGTTTTAGAATAGAAAATTTCAAGTTATATTCAAAAACAATCTCACAGAGCCTATTATAGTAGAAAAAAAAAATGATTAAGAAAAAACTATTTTACCACTACTATAGCAAATCTTTTATAATCCTTTGCTTTACAAGATCCAAAATGATATTATAAAATATCAGTAACTTGGAATCCAGATCTAAAAAGATATTTTATCAAAAAACTAGAATCAAAATATACAGTTATAACCTTTATAGATAATATAACATGGATGGCAAGATCCAAGAAAGATATAGAAAAAATTCTAAAAATAACAAAATATTTTATTAAGTAAATGACTTCCAGATCAATAATAATAAGTCTGTCTTGATAATAATAAACAATTCTAATTGCTATCTAAAAGAAATTTAAACAAGTACAAAAAATAAAGTAGTCAAAGAGCTCAATAGAACAGAACAAGTCAAATTCCTTAAAATCTGAACAGATGATCAAAAAAATGCAATAGAACTTAAAGAAGAAATACTTAGAAAAATCAATATAATAATCAGAACTCTCAAGAACAAAAAAGTAATGAACAAATAAGTTTTACATTTTAAATAGGATATCAATTCCCAGAATAGAATTTAGAATGCAATATAGTATATTGTCCTGGAAATTTGTAATATCTTAATAGCAGTATACAGAAAACTTTTCAAAAATAAAAGTACTTTATGCAAATCAATGCTTAATAGTATAATTTATTATTCAAAAATTCATAACTTGAAAAGTATCCGGACACTAAAATGTGAAAATAAAATATTAGATTTTTGCAATAGACTAAATAATTTTGGACCAACAGAAATCACAATTATTATTAAACTTAAACAAGCACAGATAAAAAACTAGAAACTACTTAATTTGTTAACCTATAAAGCTCTAAATCATCTATCAGACAGAAGCAATTTTACGTTTTAAATAATTAAGCTAGTAAAAGATATAGGAATAATTTTTTATAGCTGAAAATATCAAAATATTTTTGAATAGAATAAGGAAAATAGTTATATTTAGGAACACTTCATATCCAAAAATTATTAAAAAACTATACTATTGCTTAGAAATTATAGATTAATGTATTTAGACCAGTTGCTTGATCAAGAAGTTGAGCAAATAAGAGATTAAAAAATACTTTAACTCTTATAGAAAACAGGTAAAGATTCTATTCCAATATGGTTCCAAACTATAACAAAAACCTTTCCAAAGAACTAATTATAACAGATTATAAAAATTGAAAAAGATGATTATATAAAATGGGAACCAAAATACTCTACATTAGAACCCAATGGAGACAAGTAAAAAAAGCTATTAGTAGTAATAAGAAATAACAATAAAAAACAAATAACTTGAGAAAAATAATAGTAAAATATAAGGCCAAAGAGAAATATTTCATTTGCTATAGTACTAATAATAGTTAAGAAAAAAGTTACAAAGGTATTCTGGATGCTCAAAAGTAATAATATAAGATAACAGTTGTATTATAAAAGAAAATATAGAGAAGTTATATATTATATATATCTTAATGAAAAAAATTTACTAAAAAAATATGAGAAGTAACAATTCTAAACTTCAAGATTATCTTAGAAAAGACAATAAAAATGAGATTTATATTAACTAAATCTTCTTAAAACTTCTTTATAAAATAATAAAATAAATTATATAAATATTAAAACTTGAAAAAAAACTATTATTAGAAAAAATATTTAAAAAAAAATATTGCATATAAAAATTACTTAATAGAGATACTTTATATAATTTTTGATCTAAAGAAAAGTTAATCTTCTACCTTGATGGATTATTTATTATTTATAGAAAAGATGTAATAAAAATAAATATAACTTGAATTCAGATAGAAAAAGCAGAAAGTTTCAAATAAAAATAAACAATTGATCCTTATTTATAAAAACAGAATTAATAAAAATTGTATCTATACTTCTGGTAGTTTTTATTAATAGTATTATTGAGATTTTATAGATAGTTAGATTTATATTTTCAAATAAAAAACAATAAAAAAAAGACAATTTAAGGAAAATATATTGTACAAAAGATAGTTGAAAGAGAAAATTGATTTCTTTATATATAAATAATTAAGTTAATATAGAAAAAGAATATAGACTTGAAGTTTATTAAAATTAAGATATATTTTAATAATTTTTATAACAAAAAAATAGATGCTCTGATCAAAAAATCTTTAAAACTTTTATTAATAGAATAAAAAATTTTATCTTATATAAGATTATTATAGAAATAAAATAGCAAGATATAATTTTAAATAATTTAATTGGATAGTTTGTTAAGAATATCAAAAACAAAACAATAATCTATTAATAAATATAATAAAATAAAATAAAGAAAAAATAAAGTCATCAAATTTCAAAGCAACAAGTTTATATGTAGAATTTGATATAAAAAAGAATAAAAGATAAATATACATAAGATATATTTTTTAAACAATTTTAATAAAAAAACTTTTTTATGCATATCTCC